AATCATCAAATGATTTTCGTCCACTTATTTATTTTTAAAATTTCTTTTTTCCTCACTATCATGCTTAGATAAATTTATTATAAAAAATTTTCAATTTCTTACAAACTATTTTGTTTTAACTTTGTCAAAACCTAAAATTTTCTATTACTAACTTTTTTTACGATTCAACACAAATAATAATTTTTTAAACGTTTTAGTCTCGTCAAACAAGCTCACATATCCAAATAATCTGAAAAAAAAAAAAAAATGAGATAGGGCCTATTTTGCTCAGTTGCAACTTCTATATAAAGTGTCATGGGAATAAAGTCATTTTAAAAGTGCTGCAAAAATAAAGTTAAAATAATGTTTGGTAAATTTAATATAAAGGTTAAAAAAATTTTGATAGTATTTTTGTAAGTTTTAGTAAATAAAACTAAAATAATGAATTTTATTAAATTAAATTAAAAGTTTTTAAGTAAAAATAAAAAAGTCAATATTATTAAAAAAAATTAATTATTTATTACACATCATATATGATAATTAAATAAGTATTTATTTCAATAGATTAGTTAATTTATAATAAATAATTATTTTTTTAATAATATGATTATGTAATATTATTTGACTAAAAAGTATGCATGCTGATGTGGTATAATTATTTTATACAATCTTTTCTCTTTTAAGTAATTGAATTTAAGAAACGTAAGTTATGATACTTAATTAAGAAATTTTATCCTTTAAATACAAAATTAGAAAAAAGCGGTACAGTACATAAATCAAATTGTATCTAAGTTAAAGATTTTTCTGTTTGCATTCCATTCTTATTTATTAACTTGATTAAATTAATCAATTCTATGTATAATTACATAAAATTTAAACTTTGATCTTTTTAATATAATTTATAAAAATTTAATTCTCGTAAAATTTGATGATGAAAATCCATCCTGAACTTTGTCATTTAATCTTTCCTAAATCAGATGAAGTGATCTTTGATGTTAATTTTATTGATCTGATAAATTGATTGGATTACATCAATAAAATTTGATAAGGAGATATTAATTATGGGAATTTTGTTTGAACACATAGCATTAACATTTCTATTGCTCACAGAAATATCAAGCTGACGTATCTTTTAATGAATAATACTTAAAAAATCGAAAATATATATTTTTCATAATAAGTTAAAAAAAAAAAACGAATGTTCTTCTTCCTGATTTCCTCTATCCCTACCCTTAGAAAACCGAAATATTCTTACTCAACTGGAAACGCATGACTGAGGCTATAATGAAGATTATCTATTTTTGAGCAGTGCCAGTTTTGATGTGTCTTTAATGTTGAAGGAAAATTCGTTCAGTGAAATCCTCCAATCCTTGTTTAGAATCATATGAACAACCTCCTTTTCATCCTCGAATTTGCTTGGTGTTCATTCTATTCTCTATTCAAACTTATTGTCTTTAATGCTGCTATCATTAATAGCTTTGATTTTTTGCAGGATTGATGCAGGTGGGAGGATTAGTAGCAACGAAAACCATGTGACAGCGAATTCAATCCAGAGTGCTCAGTTGAGGATACCAATTTCAAGAGAAGAAAATGGAAGGCAGTGGTTTTATCCGGTTCTATAAGCGCAGGAGGATTTCTGTCTGTGGGAGGCAAGGATGTCCACATATTCTGCAATTAAATGAGTTAATTATTATTATTATTAAAAAATGATAATTTAACAGAGACAATTTTTAACGCCTGTTAAAAATTCCACTCATTAAATTCTATTGGTCGTCATCAAAAAGAAAGGTCACATCAATTAATTAAAGTAATAATTAAATTAATATTATCAAATTTAAATAATATAAAAATTAGATTTTTATGAATTATTAAAAATGAACTAAATGGAAAACTTCGGATTAATCGCGTAATTTGGTCTTCGTTATTTATTGTTTTGGCACCACCGCCTTTTTTTTTTTTTTTTTTTCGTGAAACTGCCATCGGAAGCACTTCAACAGTTCGGGGAAACAAGCCGTTAGCGCGTTGGCAATGTTTGACAGTGATGTTTATATTAAATAAATTTTTTTAAAAACATATTTTGAACCTTTTGCATAATGATTAATTAGTGCAAATAATGCTTTTTATGGTAAAAATTTTTTTAGTGTAAGTTGATTTTTCCTTTATATATATATATATATATATACATATCAAATATTATATCCACAAAAAATAAAAAATATATTAATTAACCAAATTTGTTAACATAAAATTCAACTAAATCACTTGCAATAAATTTAAACACGAGACTAAAAGTTTCTACACCTCCTCTTTCCAAGAAATTTTAAAGAAATTTTCCTTGCATTTGATACCAATTATATATTTTCAAGGAAGTTGTTAGCACATGGCATTCCATCGACGACTTGCAACAAATACAAATTTTTTGGCATTTTTTTTTATTGCTCTTAGGTAGAGTCACTCTCTTGCTTCTATCTGTCAACTTATTATTTAATTTATTTTTGATGAGCTTTATCTTATTGGATTTTTTGTATTAAAAAAAATGTAATTATCGTTTCAATGTGACGTACATAGTTTTACGATTATTTCAAGGAAAATGAAGATAGTTTTTCTTCGATGATTTTGGCTCTAATGGATAAAAGATCGAGTTATAAACATGCAAAAAGAAAAAATGACACTAGGTCCTTGAGTTTGAAATTTCCTAGGCAATTTCTTCTATTTTCTCATTTCTTTAAAAATAACTGATGGAAAAAAGTTATTTCAAATTCTCCGTCATAATACATTTCTTATCCTTTTTCCTAATATCAAGAGTACAAATTCCCCTTTATATTTTTCTTAAATAATTTCCTTAACATTTTCCACTTCAAATTAAAAAAAAAAGAAAATAATTTTCTAGAATTCATCGTTTTCCTAAAAATTTTCTTAAACAAGGCCTAAGAATCATGCGGCCACATGGATTACATTAACATTTATAAGATTTTGTGCATTTTTTTGAATCTTTCTTACAATTAATTAAAATAACATACCTTTGTTAGTTTATTAAAAGAAGAATTAGCAAGTGTCTAAGGACTTACAATGAATTGTATTTAATAAATATTTTTCAAGCAAGAAGTTGTTGACACATCGCATTCCATCGGCAAATTGCGACAAATAGAAAATTTTTAGGCTTTTTTATTGCTCTTGGTTGAAGCTATAACTCTCTTGCTTCTATCAACTTACTATTAATTTATTTTTGATAAACCTTATCCCTTAATAGACTTGTTTTATTAAAAATAACATGTAATTGTCATTAGAATGTGATTTATACAACTTTTTGGAGGAAAAGATGACATTTTCATTGGAATAGGGTTCCCATACTATATATATATATATATATATATATATATATATTTTAATTTGGCATTAAGAAAATAAAATTCTTAATTAGACACTCAAACTTTACTTTTATTACATACATTACTTTTTTTAGGATTGACGTGGCAAAAACAATTAATAAAATCATGATATGTGATTAAAAAATGATACATTATTTTTATTTTTGAAATAAAAATTAAAAGAATTCAAGAAAAAAAAAAGGAAAATTAGAAAAGAGAAAAAGAAGTATAGAATCCGGAGAGAGAAAATAGGGAAGGTGAGAAAGAAAGAGATGCAGGGCAAGAGAGGAGGTGGAACTTAAGGCATAGTTAAGTCAAACCGAGTTGATATAACAAAAATTTTGCACTCAACTCAAAACTCATCTTAAGCTTGATCAAATTTTAATTTTCAAGTTTGAGTTGATTCGAGGTAAAAAATCAAATTACTTAAATTTGTTCATTTATCAAATAAAAAATAAATTTAATTTTTATATTCGACTTTAAATTCAATTATTTGTATTCAAATTTAAACTGAGATCGAATTAATATATATATGGATAAAATAATAATTTTTTAATTAAAATAGTAAGAATATATTGAAATAAAAAAAATTCGATTAAATTTACAAATTACTTGAATTAAATATTAAAACATTCAAACTCGACTTACTTAATAAATCGAATTGCTCAAACTTAATTCAACAATGATCGAATTAAATTTAAATTTTATATTTCAATTGAGTCTAAATAATTTGCGAGGATTGACCTATTATTTATACTCCTTTGAGGAACTAATTGACCGATCAACTAGTCAATAGTCTGCCGATAAGTACTCAAAATCTATTCGTCCGGAATCAGGAAAATCATCACACATGTGGCCAGCCATATCAAAGCCGATTTGCCTAATTTGGGCCAGATCACCCTCTACCTATCTTAGACCTACCACTCAAGGGCCAGTCAATCTTCTCCCTTCCCTTCCCTTCCTCTTTCTTTTCTCTTTCTCTAATCTCCCAAATTCTGGCTCTATTTCTATTTTTTTAGAATTTTTTTAACTTTAATTTTTTTAACAAATCCAAAATTTAAAATTAATAAAACAGTTTTTGAAGATTTTGATTTTTTAAAATTATTTTTTATTTATTTTTAAATTTCACATTTTCTTTAAATTTTTACGTTTTTGGGACATTTTCTTAAAAATTAATTTTTTATTTTTTAAAAACTTTTCTACTACTAATTTGTTAAAAGACTCAGGAATAATGTGAATGCTGGCATATTAGATAAGTTTTACCTAAACAGTCAACATTTTGCTATTGATTAAATATAAACGGAGTTAATTTTTAAAGTAATTTGATTTACTGAAGATAAATTTAAATATTTAATTAAAAATTTTTATTTTTAAATATAAAATTAAGAAAAATACTATAATATAAAGATTTCTTCTTTTGCATTCCATTGTATTTATTATTTATTTATTTATTGTTGATCCGCGACAAGCTTTCCTTTTCGGTGAAACTGCTACTGGATACTGCATGTACTTCAACAATTCAAGGAAACAACTCATTAGCGCGTTGGTAATGGTAATCTTTGGCAGTGATGTTGACGTTAAATAAAAATATTATTTTAAAACAATATTTTGAACCTTTTGCATGATGACTAATTAACGCAAATAATGCTCTTGAGGGTCCAATCATTCTAAAATTGTTTAATTTAATTACATTTGTTAGAATTAGGATTTGTGGATGTAACTTTTTCTTTCTATTTTTTTTTCTTTGCAATTTCTTTGCGTTTACTTTCAAGACACTTCGATGGCCATCATATCTACGCAAAATAATTGAAACTTCCTTGCTTTGAGTCGCCTTTCTCAAATAAATTCTGGCTTTGCTCTGTTACAAAACTAAAAAAAAAAATTATCACTTTGCTGTGGGAGAATTAGTTGCTGAATCCTTCTCTTCTCAGTTCTCATCAGTAAGGGTGAAGAAAGGAAAATTTTCTCATCTTTTGAGGTACACCGCTAAAATCCCTTCCAATTTTAGGCCCTTTGCTTTCTTTCTTTGGTTTTACCTATAGTTTTTGTTATTCAGTTTGCTTCTCACAACTTAGAAAATGAAAAAAAAAATGGAGATTGTTATTGTTATTGTTAGCTCTATTGTCACTGTAGCAGCAAGCGTCACCAGGATAGGATGAGGACTGAAGGATACTGAAAATAATGTAATCCTTCTTCAGAATGTCTCCTTTAGAGGTTACTTAATGAAACTTTTGTTTTTTTTTCACTTTACCCCTTAATTTTTCTTAAAAATGCAAAAGGAAACAATTGAAATAATTTGCATCCACTTATTTAATTTTGCAATTTTTGTCCTCTTATCATTCATAGATAAATTTATTATACAAAAATTTTTCTATTTCTTACAAATCATTTAGTATTATCTTCGTCAAACGATATAATTTTCTATTATAACATTTTTTTGAATCCTACATAAATAATATTCTTTTAGAAGCTTCATTATGGTCAAATAAGCTAATAAGCTCGTATACTTCCAGTTACACTATGTTTGGATTAAAGGGAAGCAAGGAAAGAAAAAGAAAATAAAAAAAAAAGAAATGAAAGAGGTGAGAATTTAATAATTTTTTATTTTTTTAATATCTCAGAAAAAAAAGTTAAGAAAAGAAAACTTAAAAAAAATTTATTTTTATAAAAAAATTATTATATCTATATTTTTATTATGACATTAAATTTAATTATATAATTCATATTTCTTACAAAAATAATTTTTTTTATGAATATTTTATATAACATTATAGTTTATAAATATTTTATAAATTTTCAAGTCTTATTAATAAAACTAGTCAAATTATTATCAAAATAAACAAGTTAATATATCCTATCATATTAAACATGCTTAATTTTATTTAAAAAAATTTATTTATACAAATTAAATAGTATAAAAATATATTTATATATTATATGTTATTTTATAAAAAAATTATAATTAAAAAAAATTATAATAAATTTTTTCTTTTTCTTTTCACTATTTATTCAAACATAGTTGTTAAATTTTTTTTTTATTATTAATTTTAAGTATTCAAACAAAAGATAAATATACTTTTTTCTTTCTGTTAAAATTTTTTTTCTTTTCTTTTCATTTCCTTTATTTATATATATATATATATATATATATATATCCAATCATACGTTAATGTGAAAAAAAAAATGAAATAGCTGTATGTTTTTGTCCAGCCTGAAAAACATATGGAAAGTTAAAGGTTTTGGTTAAATACGTTCTCCTATTTTACCACTTTTTCAATAAGATGTCTAAAAAAAAAAACACTTACTTCCGTTACATACTTTGCTCTTTTTAACTAATAGTTTGAGTTAATGGACTAACGAAAAAAAATACTCAATAAAATTATGATATGTGATAAAAAAAAATTCAAGAAAAATTTTCAATTTTTTTTTAAATTTTGAAATTAAAAAAGAAAATCAGAAAAAGAGATATAGAGAGAATGGGGAGAAAGAAAATAAGGGAAGGAGGGAAGGGGAGAGATGAAGGAGAAGGGAGAGGGGACGTTTTGACCGACCGATCGGTTTAGGGTAATTGTTTGGGGTTGATCTGCCCTATATTAGGTAGATTGAAGTCGATCTCTCTGGTTCATGTCAAATCAGCCTTAATCTATCGCAGACCAAACTCCTTTTCTTTTCTCATTTCCCTTCTTCCCTTCCCTTTCTCTCTACTCGATTCTTCTTTTATTTTGTTTTTTTTTATTATTATTATTTTGAATTTCTTTTAAAAAATTCAAAATTTTAAAATTTTAAATTGTTTTTGAAGAATTTTGATTCTTTGAAAAAAAAGTCAAGATTTTAATTTCTTTAAAATGTTTTCTTTCATATTTTAAAATTTAATTTTTTAAGAAAATTTCATACTTTATTTATTTTTTTCTTTTATTTTAATTTTTATGTTGTTTAGGACTTTTTTTTAAAAAATATTTAAAAATTTTTTTTACCACTAACATGACAAGAAACCCACTAATTGCATAAGATTGACGTATTTATATGATTAAGCTTTACCCAACAGCTTACACTTTTCTATTGGTCAAATATGTCTTGTTACAATGAAGTTTGCTTCTTAGACAATTCGACACACGAAAACAAGTTCGTTTACTTAGTTGAAAATTTTTATTCTTTAAATATCAAATACAAAATGGTAATATATAGAGAACAAGTATGTATTTAATCTAAAAATGTTTATTTATTTATTTATTTATTGCTAACCCGACCACCGGTTTCTTTCCAATGAAACTACTGCCGCATGAACTTCAACAATTTCAGGAAACAAGTCATTAGCGCGTTGGTAATCTTTGACACGTTGTTTACATTATATAAAAATTATTTTTTAAAAATAATATTCTGAACCTTTAGCATGATGACTAATTAGTCAAATAGTGCTCTTAACCGTCCAATCATTCTCAAATTGGTTGGTTTACATATTAGAATTAAGATTTATGGAAGTGACTTTTTTTAATGTTTTCTTTTTTCAGTTTATCGCATTGATTTTCAAGACACTTCAATGGCCATCACATCCACGCAAAATAATTTAAACTTCTCGCTTTGAGTTGCCTTTCTCAAATTAGTCCTTCCTTTGCTCTGTTATGGAACTAGGACAAATTTGCTCGTTGATAAGTGGGAGAATTAATTACTAAATCCTTCTCATTTTCGTTCTCATCAGTAAGAGTGAAGAAAGGAAAATTTTCTCATCTTTTCAGGAGGTACGCCACTAAAATCCCTTCCAATTTTAGGCCATTTGCTTTCTTTTGCTCGGTTTGGTGTTACTTAGTATACAAGGAGCTTTTCTTTTTGGTCGTTTCATTATAATTTTCTTTCCCCAGTCCCCTGTTTTTTTTTTTTTGTTCATTGGTTTTAGCTATACTTTTTGTTCAGTTTGCTTCTCACAACTTGGAAGGGGGAAAAATGGAGATTGTTATTGGCATCCTTAGCTTTATTGCCACAGCTGCAAAGCACACCATCTCTCCCATAAAAAACCATATCAAACACCTTTCCAATCATGAGAACCAGGTTCAGACCCTCAAGAATCAAGCTGAGAGCCTGAAGGATAGAAGAGAAAGAGTGCGGCATTCCGTTGATGCTGCTAACAGAAACGGGGAAGAGATCGAACATGATGTTGACAACTGGTTGACTAAAGTCGACAAGAAGATCGCTGAAGAAGTAGAGAAAGTAATGCAAGATGAAGCATAAGCAAAGAAAAAGTGTTTCATCGGCTTGTGTCCTAATCTCTGGACTCGTTACAAGCTTAACAAGAAAGCTGAAGAGGAGGCGAAGGCTGTTGCTGAGCTACTTGAGCAGGCCAAATTTGACAGGGTTTCTTTTCGTGCAGCTCCACAAGGTATCATTGCCGCATCAGTTAGAGGTTTTGAAGAATTCGAGTCAAGGACGTTGGTTTTGAATGGAATCATGGAGGCACTGAAAGATGCTAGTATCAACGTTATAGGGGTGCACGGGATGGGTGGCATAGGAAAGACTACGCTTGTCAAAGAAGTTGCTAGACAGGTCAAGGAAGGCAAGTTATTTGATTCCGTGGTTATAGCAACCGTAACTCAGACCTTTGATGTTAAGGGAATTCAAGATCAAATTGCAGATTTATTGGGTTTAAGATTCGAGGAACAGAGTATGGTAGGAAGGGCACTTCGACTGCAAGAAAGATTGAAAAAAGAGAAGAAGATTCTTGTTGTTTTGGATGATTTATGGGCAAGATTAGATCTTGAGGAAGTTGGGATTCCTTTTGGAAATGAACATGAGGGATGCAAGATTCTGCTGACTTCTAGAGATCTCAATGTCCTATCAAGTGGGATGGATACTCAGAAAAATTTTGCAGTTGGCCTTTTAAATGAAGACGAAGCCTGGGACCTGTTTAAGAAGATGGCTGGTCACTGTGTTGAAAGTTGTGATTTACAGGCTACAGCTATTGAAGTAGCAAAGAAATGTGCGGGACTGCCAATCGCCATTGCAACTGTTGCAAGGGCTTTGAGAAACAGAAGTTTGTTTGAATGGAAGAGTGCTTTGTGTGAACTAAAGAGGCCTTCATCAAGAGACTTTAAAGGGGTAACAGCCGGCGTATATTCAGCTATAGAGTTGAGTTACAATTATTTAGAAAGCGAGGAAGTTAAGTTGACTTTCTTGCTTTGCAGTTTCTTAGGCCATAATGGGTTGATTGAAGACTTGTTGAAATATATAATCGGTCTGGGTTTGTTTCATGGCGTCCACACAATAGAGGAAGCAAGAAACAGAGTATTGACAGTGGTGAGTAACCTGAAAGCCTCTTGTCTGTTGCTTGATAGTTACAACAGTGAACGGTTTGATATCCATGACGTTGTTTGGTATGTTGCTACATCAATTGCAAATAGGGACCTCCGCATGTTTGCGTTAATAAATGGTGATGTGCTGAAACAGTGGCCTGAAAACGAGGCGATGAGAAATTGCAGTGCGATTAATTTACTTGATCCTAATATTAGTGAGCTTCCGGAGGAGATGGAGTGTTCACTTCTTTCCTTTTTCCATATGGCCCATGAAGGTACAGTGAAAATTCCAGTCAACTTCTTCAGACGAACAGAAAGACTCAAAGTCTTAGATTTGACTGGAATGCACTTTCCATCCCTACCAGTGTCAATTGAACTCCTCACAAACCTTCACACGTTGTGTCTAAACCAATGTACACTAGATGACATAACCATCGTTGGGAAGCTCAAGAATTTAGAAATCCTTAGCCTTGCTGGATCAGACATTAAAGCACTACCTCAGGAGATAGCACAATTGACTCAGTTAAGGATGCTAGATTTGAGTCATTGTACTAGACTCAAAATCATCCCACCAAATGTCTTGTCGAGTTTGACCAAATTAGAAGAATTATATATGGACAATAGCTTTGTTCAATGGGAAGATGAAGTAGTCGGCAAAGAAAGGAGAAATGCTAGTCTTGAGGAGTTAAAGCATTTGTCTCATCTGACCACATTTTATGCTCATATTCCTAATGCCCAAATAATTCCAAAACATGTGTTCATTGAGGCATTGGACAGATACAGGATTCTCATTGGAGATGAGTGGGAGTGGTCCAGAAACTATGAATACTCAAGAACATTGAAATTCAAGTTGTATTCAAGCATTTACATGGATCATGGGGTAAAAATATTGATGAACAAGACTGAAGATTTACATCTGGATCAACTTAAAGGCATCAAGAATGTACTTGCTGAGTTAAATAATGGGGAAGATTTTACACATTTAAAGAAACTTCACATCCAAAATGGTCGGAAGGTCCAATATATTGCAACAGAGAAAATTAAGCTTTCTCAATTGCAGTCCATGACACTTGAAGGTCTGCCACAGCTCATTACCTTTTGCTCTCAAGACAAAAGGTGTTTCACATCCCAGCAGCAGGGAAACGCGAGCTCCGAGCCCTTGCCACTTTTCAATATACAGGTATTAATTTGTTTGTTTGTGGATTATTCCATATTCCAACTTTGGCTTTTATGCATATTTGCTTACATGCTAAAATATTAAAAAAGTCCTTTGAATTATTTCACTAGTTAAATAACTTTTTGTATTTTTATTGTATTAAAATAAGTACTTATACTTTTATTTATATCCAAATAAATTCTTATTTAAAAAGAAGTACTACATTTTTTTTTCTGGTTCTCCTTAATTTGGAAAATTTTGATATTTTACATAAATAAAAGTCTTACTTTAGCATTTGTGATTGTGAGAAACTAATGTCATACGTGATGTCGTATGTTAAGGGCTTATTTAAACATAAATTTAAGATTAAAAACTTAATTGAATGTAATAAAAATATAAGAATTTATTTAAATAATGTGGTAAAGTTGATATACTTTTTTGTTGTTTTAGCCTTTTCGGATTTTTTATTTTCCCTTGAATGAGTCCATAATCCCTCTAGATTATGTTATGTTAAAGGTTTAATATTCAATATATGCAGTAAGTTAAGAATCAATATTTGATATGACTGTTGGATATATTACATGTTTGGTCACTTAAGTATTTACTATTTTTTTTTATTATTTTGATTATCTAATTATAAAAGTTTACAATTTGATCATTAGCATTTGTCAAAATTTTAGTCTTTTGTCACTCAAATGTTAAAGGCTATCGGATGATTGATGTAATTTTCTAGGGTTGAATACATTTGCTACGGTGTGTTGCCATATAATTTTATATGCACGTGGCATTATCAATTTAGCATTATAAATTTTATAAAAAATTCAGATATTAATAAAATAAATTATACATTTTGTCACTTAATTTTGAAGAGTTTTTATTTTAGTGACAAAAATTTTAAAAAATAATAATTTTATCACCAACGTTTATAAAATTTATTAATGTTTTAATTTTCATTTTTCAATTAAATCTTATTATTTCACGTGACATTATAATGATTTAGTCACCATTGACATATTCCATAAATAATTTACTCTTTATTTTTTAAACTCTTCTATTTTCTTTTAAATTGTATTGCATGCAGTTATGTTACCCACTGGAAGCCTGCCAATTGTCCTCAATTAACGCCAAAGAATATGCACAGCCAGCTTTTCAGAGGCATGTAATGGCATTCGAATTTAAACGAGCTTGATCATTGAGGGCTTGTGACAACTTGGAAATCTATTATTCGCCAATCTTATTGCTAGAAGTCTGGTGCAGCTCAAACATTTAAGATAGCGAATGCATGTGCTTTGAGAGAGTGATAATATCTAACAGAGGGAATAGAAGAAGAAAAGAAGCTTGATTTGTTTCCCTCGCTTAGACTCCCTGGAATTAAAGTATCTCATAATTTCATTTCAAATTCTGCCAGGAAATTAAATTATTGAGTTCCCAGCCTTGAAAGTGCTGAAGATCAAGCACTGCCCAAAATTAAGAGAATTTATTAATGAAAGTAAAATGGAGGGGGACTATCAATCCAATAGACAAGCTCTCTTCAATGAGAAGGCGAGTTAGTAGTCTTTTATTCTTACTTCTGTTCTCTCTTTGTTTTCATTTCTCCTTGCATTTTTGCCTTAATTTTATGAACTAACGTTACCATCGGCATGTTTTATTATTAAATAGGCTGCAGTTCCTAGCTTGGAAAGGATGACAATCTCCCACTTGAGAAATGTGAAGAAGATACTTCATAACGAACTTCTAGCTGGTTCCTTTCGTAAATTAGAAGAAATGACAGTTACAAATTGTGATGAGTTGTTGACTGTTTTTTCATCTACTATAATCGGAGTATTCAGCTGTCTGAAAAAGCTCACAGTGAGCGATTGTGATTCACTACAACAGATATTTGAGGTTGGAGGGTTAAATATCAAAGAAATACATGCTGTAGATTGCCAACCAAGAGAATTGTACATTTCTGAGGTACCAAAACTGAAGCATGTTTGGAATAATGATCCCCGTGGAATTCTCGCATTTCAAAATCTACGAAAAGTAGTTATTACAGAATGTCCGAGTCTGAAAAATCTATTTCCAGCGTCCATAGCCAAAGATCTTCCACAACTTGAATTTCTAGAAGTGACCCAATGTGGGGTGGAGGAGATTGTGTCGGCAGGAGAAGGATTGGAGAAGGCTATTAGGTTTAAATTTCCCCAAGTGTCTTCCCTGAGGCTTAGATACCTGAATGAGCTCAAATGTTTCTATCCAGGGCAACACACAATAGTTTGGCCGATGTTGAAAAAGTTGGAGACAGATTATTCAACTTTACTAAAGATAGTAGCTTCCGAACGCCTTAGCATCCAAGAAATGAATGGGAATGACCAACCGGAATCCACAATTCGACGGCCACTTTTCTTGGTTGAAGAGGTATGATTATAAACCTACACTATTTTCTTTAAAAAACTAAAACATGGTCACATGCATGGCACATCAATGATTGATATGTGTTACCAATACAATAATGAAATTTTAAGTTATTACATGAAATATAATTAATAAATGTGTTTTTTAATTTATCTGTGATTTAATAACAATAATTCTAAAATCAATACTTATATATTAAAGCTATCTCTAATTGAATGAGATTGCTCATTTTGGGATTTTGGACCATAATTTTTGGACAATTAAGAATTGTCATAAATTATCATTTAGGGTTAATTGGGTTAATGATAATTTGAGATTAATTGGATATAAAATTATACTATATCTAGTGGTAAATTATTAAATTACCTCTAAAGAGATTAATTGGTTTTAAGGATATTTTTATCAAGGTAAAGGAATAATAAACAAAAACGCTAAGAAAAGAAACAAATTGAGAAAGAGAACAAGAAAACAAATAAGAAAATAATTTAGAGAAACAAAAAAAAAAGGTTTTGGTTTTTTGGATTTTTAAAATTTTTTAACATTATGCTATTCTTAAATTTTTTAAAAAATATCTTCTAAAATAATATAATTTAGAATAATTTAAAAAATATTAAACATGTACATTTAGCAATGGCTTTTTTTTTTTTTTTTAAATGAGCATAAACATTTTGAACTCTTTTGTTTTTTAAAGAGACAAATGATGAAGTATAAAACTACTTAAAATGAAAATATAAATTTATTTTTTTATTTGTTTTCTCATGTTTCATGTTGCATGTTTCATTTTCACTTTTTATGTACCAGAACATAAAATATAGCCTATAAATTTTAAAAATTAAAATTTTAGGAACAAATTTAGATATTTTAAAATTAAAAAGCAGACATGTTTTGAGCTTTACATGGTTTTAGTATTTAAAACAATTTTGAATCTTTTTCTTTGTTATTTTTGTTTATTTTCTTAATCTTTATTTTTTAATTTACACTTAAGTAAAATATTTTTATATTTTTGATAAAAGAAAATTAGGGATAAAAAGAAAAAGGTATGAAATCTTTTGATTATTATATTTTTTAATTTTGGTTTTTCTTTATTTATTTATTTATTTCTTAAATATCTCTCTTGTAGAAATTTATGATTTAATAGGATATGTGTAAAAAATACAAAATATAAAAATATCAATTTAAATTGTTCTCAATAATGGAAAGTGACAAAATATAGTTTTCTAAAAATAAATTATACCAATAAAAATATAAATCTATTCAATAACATTATCATGTTTATGATCCGCATCCAACCTATAAGGAATTATTCACTTTGATATGAAAGTTTTATCATTTTATCATTTTATCCCACAAAAAACGTGTTACAAGTATGAATTTAAATATCTATTTATATATTATATCGTATCTTTACACTTAATCAATATGGGATTAAGGGCATTATAATTTCTTTGTTAAAGCTTGACATCCTAGTTTAACACATAACACACAGAACCAGAATTCAAGGCAAGGTTCTAGAAGTAGTTTTTATCGTGTAGCATTTAATTTTTAAACTTTCGGTTGATGATTGTTCTAATACCATTCATGAAAATTTTTATTTAACCTATAAAGTACTATTCATTTTAATATGAAAGTTTCATAATTTTATGTCATAAAAAGTTTCTTACAAGTATGGATTTAAACATTTTCTTATGTATTATATTTATCTTCATATCTAACCAATGTGTGATTGAGAGTTATAGTTTAAAAGTAAGTTTTTAACTTATTATGTTTAGAAAATTTTCTTGATTTTATTTATATTATAATTTAATTTGTTAACAATCTCACAAATATTAAGATAAATGCATATTTTATTTTTGTTTTAAAAAATTATATATGAGATTAAGTTTGGCATTGTGAAATATTTAGCTTTAATTGGTAAATGAATAAAACTATAATCATATAAGAATTTTTTTGAATTAATATGTTTGACAATATATAATCATTTATAAAATATATTTTTGATTATTTCAACTTACATTTGTTAATAAAAACATAAATATTCATAAAAATAATTCTTACAGAAAAACGCCTGTTGCATTCTAATTTTATATTTAAAGTTCACCTTTGATATACTTTCTATTTAACTCAATTTCTAATTCTGATTTTAATTCAAAATATTAAATTTAAATGCAAACGATTCTTTTCACCAATAATGCAATAGGTTTTGAAACATAAAATAATTTGAAGTATAAATAAATGAATGTGTTGTATTCCTAAAATTTTCACTTAATTTTTGAAATATTATTTTCATATTATTTTTCTAAATATAACATTTGAAGCAAAAAGGCTTAACTTAGGAGTTCAACAAAAACTTGATGCCCTTATACATCCAAAATTGTTTTACAAACATCCATATATAGTTTTATTATACTAGCATAGAGTTACATGGATTGCACATGTATATGTGTTATGAGTACAATTTTAAGTAAAATTTTTGAAATATAAATAGCTGTGTTCTTAATTTATATAGTTGAGTTTATAATAAACATAATTAGAAAATAGACATAAATGAAAATTAAGATCATATCTTAAATGACAGAAAATACATTTTTTATATCTATATCAATTTCCTTTTTATATTGGTGTTAGGAACTTTTGCCTTGCAAGTAGTCCATCTAACACTATAAATAGTTAAGTGAATCGTTTGAGCTAAATTTTCGGGTTCATATCTATCTCAATTAATTAGTTAAGTATTGTTTCAAAAAAATTATTAATTAAAATTTATTCTCCTTATAATTTTATAATATAATAAAATAATTTGTAAAAGGATTTTTTTTTTTAAATTACACTCATAATCAAGTATTACATTTATGTAATTCACATCATTAAATAATTAACTAATAAATTATAACTTAATTAAAAATCAAATTCACATATAGTGAGAGTTGAATCTAAGATTTTAAGGTTTTAGGACTTTCTCTTTGCCACTAAGCCACGGTCTCATTACTATTTGTAAATGGATGTTAATTTTGAAATATAGTAAAACTTTATATCCCTTTATTATTATTATTATTATTATTATTATTATTATTATTATTATGTTCACTTGTTAACTTTAAATGGCCTATCTAGATGGTTGTTTTTTTCTTTTTTTTTTGGTAAAATCTATCTATATCTATATATCTATCTAGATCTTATATATACATACACAATTTTTAACTATTGAAACTAGAACATTAAAGTAGAATTTTTTACTATGTATACACAATTTTTAATAATAATATAAATTGTGTTATGTTGAAAAATATGTATCTTAAAATTAACTTTATCTTTTTTAAAAATTAATTCAAAGAATAGTATCTGTTTTTTTAGAAGAAATTATTCAATTGAATTGTTGTTACTTTTATAATTTTAAATGTTAAATGAGATGTAAGATTTAAAATAAGGATGATGATATCACATAAAATTGATATGAAAAATATACGAAAGTAATGCTGTTTAAAATTTTAACAAAAACCATTAGAATTAACAAAATAATGTATTTTGTATTTTTGTATTGACACAAATTGTGATACGTAATTTTCGTGTAAAACATGATTAGTGTACATGAAATTATCAGTATTGATACGAATACACGAATTATACAACATGAATTGTGTAATCCATTAAAATTAATTTTTTTATTATATGCTTCTAATAGTTCATTCATCTCTCAATTACTTTCATCCTTTGAAATTTTATTTGCATGCATGTTAACATAGTATAAAGTCACGAGACATTATAAATATTTCATAATTTTTATGTTAATATCTAACTCATTAAAAAAAATGAAAAAGATTTACGCCCGTATAACATCCTGCTGGCCAATACTAGTTTGCATTTTTATTTTCCTTACATGCGTACGTCACGGAATGACAGCTCTAGTTTCATTGGTGTTAACAATTTTTACTTTTTTTTTAAACAAATTTACTTGATTAATCATATAAGTAGGAGGACTAAATAATTCAAAATTGAAGTGGAGATTGAAATGCACATTTTAAGGACCTGTCAATTACTTAAACCTGTGACAATAGTTGAA